AAGAGCTAGATCTATGATATTTTTAGAGTATATGTAAATCACTGAGCTGAACAAGTTTACTTAAGACACCAGGACAGGTTGTCTTAGTAAAATAAAAGTTATAAGTGTTTTTTAGATGGATGATTTTTTTGTTAATTTTTGTGTAATGGATTTGCAGAAAGAGTTATTTTTATTTTTTTATGATAATCAATTTTTTAAAGTATTATTTTATATATATAATTATGTTAAATCTGTATTATATCATGATACTATATGTAATACTCTACAAGGTATTAATTTAATTGAAGAAAATTAAATTTAATTGTAATTAATTGCAATTATTTTATCATTAATTGGATTTCAACTAATTTTGTCATATGCATATTATGATGTGTAAATGGTGAGTCTGTTATTTCACCTAATAAGACATTATGTAATGTTGTAAATTTGATAGGTCAAGGCTTCAAGATATGGATTAGATTTGATGAGTATAAACTTTTACTTATTTTTTTTTTTTTTTTTATATTTGAGTTACTCTATTTAATGATACCTTAATTAATTACTACTATCTATAACTATTATCAAGGAACTTTGATCCTTCCTTCCACCAGTTGGAATGCCCAAATGATAAATACTTTATTAAAATTTTACTTGTTTTTTTTTACAATTTCACATTACTAACAATTTCTCTATTAAATTTAGTTTGTCCTCCTATTTTTCTACCATTCCACCACTATACCATCATGCTATCATGGGTTTCACTTAGATGGGTAAATATTGTTTTCTTAATTGTTTTATTTTTGTCTTATTCTATTGCAACTATACTTCTATTACTTCAGATTTCATCACTTTGAAATATTACCATCACAGTATAATGTCTTCCCAAATTTGGGCACAACCGCCTTGTCCTGTGTTCTTGGCATGGAAGGACCCGATTATGTGTGTTTTGCTGTTTTTGAGAAGTCGAAATGCATGTATAATCTGTAAGTCCCAAGCATTGTTTGTGCTACATATCATTATGCACGAATCATTGCATTTTTCTGGCCCATGACAATATACAATTGCAATCAATTAAAATTATGAAAAAATTAATTGTAATTAATTTTTTAGTAAGCCTGTATCAAATTACTGTATTAATTTTTCTTAATGCTATATGTTACCTACATTAATCTAATGATTTTATAGATTTATTTATTTAATAACTTTAAACCGTCGACGAAATGACAAGTTGTACCTAGTATGATGCTTAAATTTTTATTTAATTTTTGAACTGTTTATCTCTCGAAGTATACATCATAATAAGACTATCTGGATTAATCGGATTTGATAGAATATGCTAAAAATCTACTTATAACAATATTAAATATAAATCAGTCCAGTCCTAACCTAAATCAGGTCTACCTTGATAGCAAAATAGTTGAACCAGATTAACCTATATGTAATCTACTATTAAAGGTGAATAGAAAATGTTACTACGTAGAACGGCTTTTGATAATATAAAATTTCAATCTATCAAAATCCGCTAAGAATAAAAATACTAAATTTGCTTTTGTTCCTGGGACTGCATCATGCAACTACCTTATTTTTAAAAATCTCCACTCAGCTTAACCAGCCAGAGATCCTAGAAATACCCGTTAAAAATTACTACCTATGTATCATGAGTCCTGCACACACTATTACATCGTCACCTCTAATCTAAGGATTAATGTATTTTGGTGTTACATACTGTGGACTAAACACCCTAGCATCACCAACCTAAAAAATTTCAAATCAAGTTTTAAAAGGTGTAACATATAAAAAAAAACCTTAACACAAACGCTTAACTAATATAAAAATTTCTTAGGTCTTGTCTTACGTATTAAGAACCCGGTTATGTACATAATAGGATAAAAGGCTAAGTACATATAAATAACCCAAATAAGGTAATGTGTGATTAAGCATACGTAACCAAAATGAGAAATAACAAAGTACAAGTAATATGAATTTGGAACTTTGACCCTGATAACTATTTAACTCATCGGGATAGTTCGTTCGCATATCCGTTATCTTTACCCATTAGCAAGTTTCTTGCATAGAGTAAGTTCGATTTCATTGGTTGGTATTATGATTAGCAAACTGGACCAAAGTGAAGACCCATTCTTTTTGATTCACAAGGTCCATTCTTTTTAATTTATAGAAAAGGTCCACTTTTTTAATACTATCTCATATGACTATATGACTTAGCCTTCTAATCCGTGAATCAAAGATATAAAAAAATATTTCCTCGAAATGTGATGCACTGACTCTGGTTATATTGACAATCTTCAAAAAACAAAGAAATTGTCCAATATATCCAGGCATCGATTTAACCGGAGGCGTGTTCATATTAAAAATGTCGTTATAACCAGATGTCATTAATCGGTATACAGATGTCGATGTAACCAGAGTGACGAGTATTACAAAATTTTGGATATTCAATTAGGAAAAAATATTGTTTACGCACCTTCGGATTAACATCCTAGTTCTATTACAAACAATATAAATAATTTTGTAGAACTTTTTTTTCCAATTGAAATCAGATGACCAATAAAAGGAACATGCCGGTTTATCTTACTTGCTTTGACCAATGTAAATTAGCCAATAATATAAATATCTTCCTATATTTGGCAGTCACCTCTATCTGCTGAAAACAGGCGAAACGGCGAGTCAGTTGCTCCACGATCCAAATTCTCGTGTAACCTACGGTTGGCTTAGTCGGAAATAGGCGTTTAGATTTGGCCGATGGTTTGGGTCCGTAGGTAAGTATTTCTTCTTTACTCGTCTTGGGCTTTCCCTTCTTAAGCTTTTACTGACTCTATTCTCAATTACCTCACTACTTCGGGTAATTGAACGACACGTATAACCTTAACTATCCTCAATCCTTCGGGATAATTGGACGGTATAACCACGGCTGATCCTGGTGCTTTAGGATACAACAGCCGACGGGAATGTAACAATACCTTGAGATAGAATAGACAATGCAAGAAGCGGGGTTTTATGGTCAGGGATTTAGCGATTAGTTAATGTACTAAAGGAGACTTTTATGTATTTATTATTATGTAAGGGGCCAGATATTATTTTTAATAAAGCGAAGTTCGGGTCTCTTTTCTCCCTAGAGCCTTCACGGCCTTTATTTATCTTAAAATTCTTTATTTACATTTGACATTCTACGTCTGCTACGACTGCCAATTCTACTACTTTGTTCCCAACTCCGTAGCCTACGTAGCCGAAATAGCCGGGTCACCCTAATTTGGAGTAGCTGTAGTTACGTGCCACGTAACTTCTCCTACATATTCACGCACTCTAAGGCATTGTGCTACGCGATCATTATTCGCATCAGGTTCAAGGTTTACTGATTTCATCTGTTTTTGTATCTGATATAGAACCTTTTTTGTTTAAACAATTATTTTGGTATATTGATCAATGAACCAACCATATGGAATTTATCATTATTTACTTTCTTACATCTTCTGATACTTCATTAATTATATTCCACGGATGATGTTGATAACCTGATTAGTTAGGATTAAGTTGATCGGCAAATTTTAACCAATATAATACGACAGGGTGAAACCTGAGTTGCGAAATAGTGAAATCCGCTATGATCATCACATGAGGGTGAAATCCGCTTTTATATAATAAAAACCATAATAAAACGCGAATTTCACCCTAACCCGATCTACAAAGCGGATTTCACTATTTCGCAACTCAGGTTTCACCCTGTCATAATATAATTATTAACAATAGCAATAGCAATAAACCCAGATGATTGGCTGTTGGTGGTGATCAAAACTTTTCGTACATCAAAATCACAGCTGCTCATTAAGTGAAAAATACGCTTTGCCCAATTTACCATAGTGTAGGCTTATTTTCCGAAAAATTTCCATTCTTAAATGGAACAATTATGGCTGGATAATTACTGTAATTTTACGCAAATTTGTGTAAATTTCTGAAATCAAACTTTTAACCATGTGAATAATGTTGACAAAACTTTCGTAGAGCTGACACATAAATAAATATAAAATTATAGTTCCAATCGTTGTTATTGATGCCAATAACTTTTATAATGCTGTTGCAAAAATCATGGGTCAGTACATTATATGATGCAAGGTTACATTACAACTTTGTGACATTAGAATGTAATTTTATATAATACAATTACTATTTTTATTGAAGATAAAAATTAATGTCTTTTTGCTATCGCTATATATATACAGATGATAATTTATGTTATATATTAAATCACATGTGTCGGTAAAAATAAATATATAAGCTCAATAAGTAAATGGTATTGTCTTTTATGCTTGGTTCATTGATACACTAAGTCATTAACACATCACAAATCAAACAAATAAACAAGGCTAATTGTGCTACATTCTTGATTAGCATGCTTAAAGCATTCAGGCTCATTAATACTTACTACATCTAAAATTCCTAAAATTCAAAATCTAAGATTTATTAAATTAGAAATTTAATTAAATTTGCACACAAGATAAATTATTTAACCCTGTGCTAAAAGATTTAAATTTTCATAAATTAAAATTTGCATTATTAAACTATGCATTAATCTAATATAAAGTTAATAATGTACCCTTGTTATTTATGTAAACAAAAAAAAAGTCATGAGTACCATGAGTACACAAATATAAACAACAAATATATCCGGATCAGGTGACCTTATTAGGCTTACTGTAATACACATTACACATAGAAAATGTAATAAACTTTATTTATATATAAATATTGAACAATAAATGCTTGTTCATTAAACTAAGATTTACTAAGACTTGAATAATGATTGAACGTATGTCAAATTTTAATTAATTTCGAGTTTGAATTTCAGATTTAATCAATGTAGTTAATAAAATTTATTGCCAACTTTCTAAATACTAGCTTCCAATTATTTACAACAAGTGGAAACGCTTTTAAAACTATACAATATAAAAGAATTTGATTCCTCACAATGTCAAAACCGTGAATTGATCGCACGTGGAGGATTTTCTTTGGTATATTCTACTACGTTCCAAAAAAAGTCATACGCTTTAAAGCGTCTATATAAAAACGATAACCAAGCGCTTAAATTATTAAAACGTGAGGTAATGTGGTTTTCGTTACTGTTGGGAGTTTTAAAATCAATATTTATATTGTAAAATTTAAACGAATCAAACATAACTATTAAACCTAAAAAAAATGTATCATACATTTTATGTATATACAGATTAAACTTCTTCACAAAGTTGAACATCCAAACGTCATAAAATTTTACGGCATTTCAAGGGGTATGATAATATAATGAAGTTTTAACTTTGAATATTAAAAATGTAATTCTTATTCAAATTTCCTTATTTTTAAGAACAAGCACCACAACGTGATAACATTATCGAAATTATGCTTGTCTTGCAATTAGCTAATGGCGGAAATTTACAAGATCATCTAGCAAAAAAACAACATATAGGTCTTTATAAAATTTCTTGGACTGAACTAGTCCAAATAGCAATGGATATTGCAAGCGGGTTGAAATATTTACATGATAATAATATTATTCATCGGGATCTGGTGTGTTGTCGTTTAAATATGTATATAAATTTTAATTTAAGTGTCAAATTACTAAATTTTTATAAAATCCTAGCATCCTAAAAATATTTTGATAAATGATGGTAAAGCGCTAATTTCTGACTTTGGATATTCACAAAATTTAAATGATACCACTGTTACTTTTGATGGCTCCAAAATGGTCGGTGTTATACCTTACGTAGAGCCACAATGTTTTATTGAACAGACAAAAGTCAAGCGTGATAAAAGATCTGACGTATATAGTTTAGGTGTACTGTTTTGGGAACTCACAAGCGGAATCCCTCCATTTTTTAATTACCCTAATCAGTATATCTTAATCAGAGATATTTCGGAAGGTTTACGAGAAAAGGAGATTACTAATACGCCTCAAAAATATGTTGATCTCTACAATCAGTGCTGGTCTTCAGATCCATCCCAACGTCCAACAGTAGACATCGTTTTAAGTATACTTAAAAAGCTACAAACAGAAAAAGCCGAATTCATTTCACATATAATAAGTGAAAAATGGATAAAGCATTTCGGCTTACATAAAGGTAGAAACTTTAATGGAAATGGCTTTGTTCTGGGAACAGGAATTATTCTAGGAGATAATGGTTTTTTAGAAATGGAAAAAATACGGCAGCCAATACCAATTATCTATCTTCCGAAAGAAAATGAAATAGAAACAGAACATGATAACATACATATCCACATTCCAATGTTAACTTTACATTATGAATGTGACCCGACAAAAAAATTTATTCAGGATATTAAAGAGGTGCTTGATATTAAAGATGAAACTGAGAAAAAAACCAAACTTGATGAGAAATTAAATTATTATGGTGAATATGTAGTTACTTCGGCAACTATTGGTGGTGTCATCGAAATTAAAAATTGGTCTGAATTTGATGACGCAAGAAGATCGCGTTTAAAAACATATCTTCAATGGAGCATTGATTATGCGAAGGGCATAAAAGTAAACAACTTTGAAAAAGCATCGATTGAAGACTTGCATTTATTTACCAATTCCAAAAGCATGAAAAATGCTGAAAATTTATACAAATGGGTTAAGGACTTACATAATCCTAATTCTTTGGAGATTATATCATATGAAAAATTCAAACCTACTATTCAATTATTACCAGAAGATTTAATTCTTAAATGTTCTAATCGTGAACATACTGATGAATCTGAATTAATTTCAAAAACTCGCTCTCGCTATGATAAAATAAATATATCAGAGTGGGTAACATCACCGGCACTTCCATTATATACGTGTGATTGGATTCAAGATAATTTATTACAACATGGCATAATTTTACAGCGCTCAAAAGCAGGAAGAGCTAAGAAGGCTGCTTTTAAATTTTTAAAGGAACCGAAAATAACTCCGATAAATAAAATTACTATCATCTTATCGCAACATAAAACACGTCAGGAAGAATATTTATTAGAGAATGGTATAATTTTAAAAAAAGAGGAAAAAATAGAACTTGATAAAATTCCTTCTGCAGAGCATAGTTCAACACTTAATATTCCTTTGGAAGACTTTACAAAAAAACAACCTTCTAATGCAATTTATTGCCAAGTAATTTTTCAGACGATAAAAATTTCTTTCGACCTATTGGACATTGAATATTTACAAGAATTTACAAATACAGTAGATTCTGCACTTCAGGATCAGAATGAATCCTCTAGATCTAAAACTCTTTGTAAGTTATTCGGCGAAGATTATGGACATTTATTGCCAAGAACTTTTACTTTAGGTGGAGTTTTGTCAAAAAAATATATATCAAATAATCACCCTCTTAACATCCAAACACAACGATTGGATCTTAAATCCGATGATCCCAATGCGCATTCAAAAATCGAGCAGCTTTTAGAAGCATGGAATAATGAATTTAAAGATGTTAACACTTTTTATTTTCTTAATAATGAGGGAGATGTTATTTATCGTAACAAAATCGGTGATTGGTTAAAAACTCTCGCAGATGAACCCAAAATTTGGTGCACTATATCTTGGGAAGATTGGATACAATTATATAAAACTAGTCCATCTGATAACATTTCGTTTAATGGGTCTGTTTCTTCAGTGTCGACGAATGAGTAATGGGATTTGCCACTGAATACTGGAGTTAAATGTAAAATATTATAAAATGTATGGTTTGTAAAAGGTTAGCGAGATAAAAGACGTTGATCGATACGGTGAATCCACTAGATTCGCTAGAAATTCAATGATGTAGATTTTGCATATTTGCTGGATACAATAGAACTAGAACTGTCATAAATATTAGGCTTTTAAAATCTGGCAAACAAAGCAAACAAGTAGAAAACGCTGATCGGCCCTATAAAATAGTAAATTTTAAGTCTAAGCTTCGAGTAAATTAGTTCGAAGAGTAGCAATTGCTGAATAAGTGAAAGAAATCCTTTTACACCATATAATGTCGAAACAACATTAAAGCTACTATTTCCTAGCATTAAGAGCAAGCAGTGTGGAGGCTCTTTAAAAAAATTATTGAGCGTAGCACACTTTAGTTCTCGTGTTTATGTTCAAAATAGGTGCGATTTTATAATAGAAGAGTTTCGTAGCCAAGCAATTGTAGAAGTTACTTTTTCAATTTTATCAAATTTACATTCTATAAACCACAGCAACGTGAATAAATATTAATATTAAATAGCATACTCGAATGTAGTTAAATATTTATGTAATACAAATAAATTTTATGATTTTTTAATTTTGTTGAATAGTTATTAACCAACAAAACTGCCCCGGCAGATTCTCGATTTGATTGGCTAAGAGTGACGATCAAAAATTTTGGCCGGAATTACTAATGAAATCGCAGCTGCCCATTACAGCTATTATCATTATTCTTGGGACACCTGTTAAAATTGGCCGAATGATTTTTCGGCCGATTCGGTTAAACTTATGATTTCGGCATAAGAAATTCTATAAATTGATATGTATACGTATGTACGTACGTACCAGATAGCTAATATAAATATTATACGAACTGATACAAATATCTCTAGTCAAATATAGAAGCATGATGCTTTCAAAGCCCTTCGCCGGCGAATAATTGAAAATAAATTAGAAAGCTTGTCATTTCGAAAAGTGCAAAACACCTAGATGTTAGCATGTATTTTATAAGTCTAGTTCTCAAGCACATGGATGTATCGTAGTGCATTGACTAAAGACCCGGGGTCTAATATAAAAATACCTGAAAAAACTTATAGAATACCCGGGAGTATTTTGACTGTGACTGGGTCAAAATTTTGGTATTTTACCAGAATTGCATAATTTTACATCATATATTATACCCGGGTATTTTGCAAGGAAGGTCTTTTAGTCAGCGCACTACTACGGTATTGAAAAACTTCTGCAATACAATTTCGACCAATGTTAATAAAATCATCTCTAAACCAGTCAACAAATTCTTGACCATATCTAGCTTTTTAATATCGACTCCTACTCGCGTAATATGTTTATTATTAAAGTTTATTTTATATCTGGAGCCTTTGCCTATCGAGATTTATTAGTTGACAAAAACAGCCTTTTTCATAAGTTCTCGCACAAACTAAACACACCAAACATGTGCAAGTATCAACCGAAAATTTAATACCATTGAATGCGTCGACATTTATAAAGATAAAATTATCCATATATTACATGTAATTTTTATTATGTGAATAACGTTGGCCAAGCTTTCGTAAATCTGGCACATAATAAATATAAAATTATAATTCCATGATGGATGTCTAGTAATACTGGCAAAGCTTCTGTAATGCTGGTGCAATGATCATGTGTCAGTGCTCTATTTAATGTACTGTACGTACGTACATACATACAGTTTTATTCCCGAAATCATAAACTTAACCGAATCGGCCGAAAAATCATTCTGCCAATTTTTACAGGTGTCCCAGGAATTATGATAATAGCTGTAAGTGAAATTGTTCATGGGCTAACTTTACCATTGCGCGGGCCTATTCTTTGAAAATTACTGTTTTTGGAATGAAAAGGTTAAAATGCTAATTCCGACCGGAAATTACAATATAACAAAGCTGGGGCTGGGGTGTTTGGTTCGATATATCAAGGTTTCGATCCATTAAGGTTCTTACTATAACGAACATATATAGCTATATATGTGTATAGTCATTATAGTAAGGTACCTCATTGGATCGAAATTTTGATATATCGAACCAAACACCCATATAGCTCCGGAGCTTCGTAACAGAGGGTATACTATATTATTTGTGTTACGCAAAAATTCACTGTACTGCAAAACATTTTATTATATCAAGTATCCATTATATCAAGTTAATATTATTATGAGTAAACCAAAATTTTCTGCGTTATGCAGTATATCAAGGTTTTATATTTAAAATTCGCTATGCTGAGGTATTTTTGTAATAAAAAGTTTTAGCTGAAGAATATCTTTGTATTCGGTTTATCAAGGTTCGTTATATCGAGGTTATACAATTATGTAATACGGGCCAAAATTTTGCAGATCCACGGCCGTTAGCCAATCAAAATCGAGGATCTGCCGGAGCAATTTTGAATAGTTTTACCGTGGGCAAGCATCTAAAATGCTACCGTAAAAAAAAATGAAAAAAAGAACCGAAAACAATCCAAAAACCATAAAAATTTTGCCTATAAAATTGTCTTCTACGTACTAATAAAAAAACTTTCCTTACAAAATTTTTGTTACTTACAACCCTCTACCCCAACTACTAGCAAGACCCTAATTCTAAAATAATCGCGAAACCTTTTTGTACGAAAATGTTTTACTGGTTTTAAAGTTTTAGACTGGTATTACTAGTCTTATATGTAGTCTAGACTAGGATCTGTCGTGCATTTTTTGCTCGACACTTAGGTTTAATTACTAAAGGCGTTGGCAGATTTTTCCGTCTTGCTGTCTACATGACCAATCGCATAAATGATTGAAAAATTTTTCACCGGGTTTACAAAAACATCTGTTGATCTACTAAAATACTAAAAATAAAAATAGTATGACTATACCAAAATTGTGATTACAATAGGATTATATTATGTTTAGCTTTCAAATAAACAAATAAATATTATTATATAAGTCATTTTCAAATATTATTAATTTTTAATAAACACAAGTTTTAGAAGGATAATTTGCCAGGGTTTGATAATAATAATTTTTTTCATAATATTTATCGAATATGCGAGATCTTCCGCTTCATAATCTTCATTTTGGACATGCACTACGTATCTTTACGTTTCACTACACCAAAAGTACGACATTATATTTCTAATGATTAGTAAACAAAAAATCATGCGTGCATGCATAAAAACATCAACGACAAACCTACATTCTCATTTGTGAAGTTTGAGGATCATATAAGGATCATATAAGCATATATGTTGATCATCTGATTTATAATTTAGTAATCATTCAGCTTTATCACATTCCTATATATGGCAACTGACAACTCACTACGTACGTACAATAAGATATGTATAATGAAAACCTTATTTAAGGTAATTTAATAAAATTTTGTGTAATTATATATTAAGAATTATTTTGAATATGTATTCGTATAGCCCAATCTAAGACTCATTTATTTCTATTAAGAACCATGACGGATAATAAAGATTATTCTCAAGAAGTAGAAAAGCTTTTAAAAAAATTCAATATAGAAGAATTTAATTACTCTCAATGTGAAAACCGTCAACCTATTGCACGTGGAGGCTTTTCACTAATATATTCTATCGTTTATCATGGAAAGTCTTATGCTTTAAAATGCTTAAATAATAACCTGGGTTACGATGATAAATCGTTTAAGCTATTAGAGCGTGAGGTAATTTAGTATTCATTATGCTTCTTAAAATTAAACCTAAAGGATAATTTAATTATTATGCATAATTGTTCATAGATTAGACTTCATAAAGTTAATCATCCAAACGTTATAAAATTCCATGGAGTTTCAAAAGGTATTGTATAAAAAGTTTAATTCCATTTTAGACTATTATTTCTCATTTATCAGCTTTTTAAACATCAGAACAAACTGAGAATGTTGGAAAGATTATGCTTGTCTTACAATTGGCTAATGGCGGGAATTTGCGAGATCATCTAGCAAAAAAACAATATATAGGACTTTATAAAATTTTATGGACCGAACTAATCCAAATTGCGAAGGATATTACTAGTGGGTTGAAATATTTACATGAAATTGGTATTATTCATCGAGATCTGGTGAGTTTTTATATATATATAAAATTTTCATTTAAGTATCAAATTACTAAATTATTTATAAATCCTAGCATTCCAAAAATATTTTGATAAATGATGGTAGAGCATTAATCGCTGACTTTGGATATGCGCAACAGTTGGATGATTCTGTCACTATGAATTCCGCTATGATTGGCATGACAGCATATATTGAACCACAATATTTTACTAATCGTTCAAATATTAGACGCGATAAAAAATCTGATATATATAGCTTAGGTGTATTATTTTGGGAACTTACAAGTGGAATGCCTCCGTTTTCTAATTGGCAAAATCAATTCTATCTAGGCCTAGAAATTGCAAAGGGTCTGCGAGAAAAGACAGTTGCTAATATACCTTCAAATTATGTTAATCTCTACAAGAAATGCTGGTCTTTTGAACCAAGCCAACGTCCAACAATAGACTTTGTTTTAAACGAACTTGAAAAACTACAAACAGAGGATGTTACATATATTGAACATGAACTATTTATTGATCAGTTTAGTTTGAATAAAGGTAGGAATTTTGATAATAAGGATTTCGTTCCTAAAATAGCTGCTATTATAGGAAATAATGGATATTTAGAAAAAGAAAAAATAAATCTGTCGGTTCCAATTATCTTTCTACCTAAAGAAAGTGGGATAGAAACACAATGTAATGACGTAAAAATCCTCATTCCGATTCTAAGTTTGCATTACCAATGTGATGCAATAGAAGAATTTGTTCAAGATATTAGAGATGTACTTGAACACTTAGATTCAACTGAGAGAAGCAGGATGCTAAAAGAAAAGTTTGATCATTATGGCAATTACATAGTCACGTCTGCAACTGTAGGAGGTGTTATTACAATTAAGGATTGGTCTAAAATTGATGATGTAAGTAGATCACGCTTAAAAACCTATCTTCAATGGAGTATTGAATATGCAAAAGGCATAAGATTAAAAAACTTTGAAGACGCAGAGATTGATGACTTGAATTTACATATAGATTCAAAAAATGTGCAAAATGCTGGGAACTTATACAAATGGATTAAAGACCTATATAACTATAAGTGTTTAGAAATTATATCATATGAAAAATTTAAGCCGACATATCAATTATTGCCAGAAGACTTAATTCAAAAAACATTTGAATTTTGCAATTTTGAACATACTGATGACTCAGAAATAATTTCAAGAATTCACTCTCAATATGATAAAAAAAGTGGTTTAGAGTGGGTTACATCGCCGCAACTCCCATTAATGCTGTATATATGTGATTGGATTCAAGATAATTCATTACAATACGGTGTAATTTTACGGCGCTCAAAATTTGGACGAGCTAAGAAGGCTGCTTTTAAATTTTTAAAAGAGCCTAAAATAACTCGGATAAATAAAATTACTGTCATCTTAACACAACCTAAGACCCGTCAAGAAGCTTATTTGTTAGAGAATGGTATTATTTTAAAGGAAGAAGATGGAATAGAACTTGAGAAAATTCCTTTTACTGAGCATATACTTGATGTTCCTTTGGAAGACTTTAAAAACTCTAAAAAACAATTTTCCAATGCAATTTATTGCCAAATTATTTTTCATACTATAAAGATTTCCTTCGACATATCAGATATTGAATATTTACAAGAATTTTCAAATGCAGTAGATCTTACTCGTCAGGATCAGAATCAATTATCTCAAAATAAAAATCTTTGCAAATTATTCGGAGATGATTATGGACATTTATTACCTAGAACATTAACTTTAGGTGGAGTTTTATCAAAAAAGTATATATCAAATAATCACCCTACAGACATTCCAACGCAACGATTAGATCTCAAAGACAATGATCCTGGTGCACATCATAAAATTGAACAAGTTTTAGAAACATGGAATAAAGAATTTAAAGATGTTAATACTTTTTATTTTCTTAATAATGATGGCGACGTTATTTATCGTAATAATATCGGTGATTGGATGAAAACTCTTGCTGCTGAACCAAAAAGCTGGAGTATTGTATCTTCTGAAGATTGGATGCAAATATATAAGGTTCTTAAAAAAAAGTAGTATAATAAGAGGTACATATATAGTTACGTAGCATAATAAAAAAGGCATAGAAATATATGGTACAATATATATTAAATAATAAAACCTGTAACTGATCACAGTAAATCATTATATATTGAATAAATTATCTTTGCAAATGATTATTAAACATATTTATAATTTTTTTGATAGGGAAAGCTTGTATCAACACACAGCACAATTTAGCTCAGATCGTAAGCATTAATTGTGAGGTTTTATTTTAATATGATGAGCGATTAGAGTATACGATACAATTGTGAGAAGAGCTATCGAAAGGTACAATGTGAATTAACGAAGAAACTAACTAAGGGTCTTCCCTCTATTAGCGACCAATGTCCCTTTTCATAGCCCTTCCATTAATCTCCAATTAGAAATAAAAGTAATTGCATGATTATAGTAAGCGCCATTACTAACGAAATATTGTGCAAGAAAAAGATAATCATAAAATCTATTATGATATTTTGCATAACAAATATGCGGTGAAATTGGATTTTAAATCTATCAATTCAATATACATAAGCCTAAACATAATACTATCTCTATAGAAAAATATATACATAAATAATAAAGACAATTACAAAAAATATACTAAATATAATATAATATACAGAATAAAAAGGTTATATAATAAATTAATATTAAATAAATATATTGAATAGCTATGGAATTATCTTTGATAAAGAATTAATATTTTATTTAAAATAAATACACAAAGCATTATTCTCTATTTAAAATTATATTATTTTTGTTATTTAATATATTTTATTTATTATAAATTTAAAAAACCCTACACATCTTTTGATTACTTTAACATCAATAAAATTTTTATATCCAAAATAATGAAAATTTTTTAATCCAAATCTATATGTTTATTCATCAAATACATTAGTTCATTTAATATATATAAGTGTTAAACTTGCATTATTATTTTTATAAACAAAATATTACAAAATTCTATCAAAAAATAATTTAATTATAAGTTTTTTTAGTTTTTGACTTTGTTCAGATACTTTTAATTTACATTATAAAATATTAAGATTTAATTTAATTAATTTTAAAACATATTATTAAATTTAATATAAATACTATTATATATAAATTATCTCATAATACAGTAATATATTTTTATTTTATAAAGATATTTTAAATCTAATTATATAACTATTAACAGTACTGTATATAAACATGTATATTTTTATTATTATATTTTAATTATATAAAAAATATATTATAATTTAAATATATATAAAATATAATCTTATATTATAATAATAAATAATATTTTTTGTATTACTTAAATTTTTGAACTATAACTTACTTGATACCATTTAAGGGAATATTAAATTTAAGATTCTTTAGATCATTATATAATTTTTTATAAGTTACCAAATTTCTTTACTTTTACTATTAGTTTGATAAAATATTTTATTACTAAAATTTATTTTTTATTTTTATTTTTTTTATATTTAAAAGTTATATTTCATTATAGTTATTTTATATATATATATATATATATATATATTTTTTTTTTTTTTTTTTTATTTTTTTTTTATTTTAACTTTGGTGACAATGCCAGTTGGTTTTTATTAGCCTTAATTTGATATAGTACAAATTTATGGTTACATTTTTGGATCAATTATTATTAGTACTATATACTATCTAATTTAACACTACTGACTTTACCCAGTTACCCTTATAGCACCTAAGTGCATGTCTGCCACATGCCTGCATGCAGTCATTTTGGCAACCATTTGCATTCATGACACACATTAAACTGCTACACAGACAAGGATACCTACTGAACTTAATGCGACATCCCAAATGCCAGAGGTACTGTCTTCTGTAAATTATGCTCATATGTCCCACTTATATGTTTTACCTAGTCTTGTTTTTCTGCCTCCTAATCTAACTATATCTAGTATTATCTTGTTCCCCACATTTTCCACCTTTTCATTATTGTATTATTCCCAAATTGGTCCTATTCGGGTATGTCTGATCCTTATGATCTTCTCATCTTTAGTTTGCCTGTTATTGATTTCCTTAAGGTGTTTTGACAATGGTCCAGGATCTGCAATAAACCTGTATCTTAAGCCAAATTTGCTGCTGCTATTGGTCTTTTGACCAATCTGTATCTTAAGGCAAACCTGCTGCCACTATTCCTGCAGATGCCCTAGGTCTTAACATCATACAGTAACTTGATGCTGCATTTAACCTCCAACATAGTGCTTCTTTTTATAGTAAAGACTGGGACTTGTTGCACTTACAAACAGAATAATTCTGGTTATACCTAGGGAGTTCCTTTGATCCTAGTGATACCATACTACTATGTATTGCAAGCTTTCAGCTTATTCAACAATTCTGGTTATGCTTAGAGAGTTACATTAACCCCAGTGATACTATACTATCTTGCAGATCTTATCTCACATTGGTTAGTTGATCCCTAGTCTTGTTCATCATAGACTTCTATATAGGTACGACCAGAACCCAATTTGGTATTTTTACATTGCACAAGAAAGTTATATGCCTACCTCCAAAATTTTCCCTTCTATAATTAGATTATTTGGCTATGCCAAAGGTGCTTTCAATTTTAGTTAGACGAATCCTTTATCACAGTCCATTCTTGTGTTCACTACACAGGTCGAATGAATAAATAAAGAGTGAATAATAGGTAAATAACAGAAAAAAAAACTGCCATTATTCTACCCTATATCCGCCAAATAATG